CCCTTGATTCTTACCCAGAGGCTCTGGGCTGTGCCACTGCCAATTGTGACCTCTCTACATTCTAACTCTTCTGTTACATACAATGCCTCCTTCTGCCTCATCTGCCCTGCCTACTCTTCCTGAAGTCTCTAACTGTTCAATAGGGCACTTCAATCACAGAACTCATCCCAGTAAGGTTTCACTTATGCCACTGATGTCAAATCATTGCCACTGGGCCAAGGATTCAAGCTCTTCTTGTTTGATCTTCATACTGTGTGTTGGAACAGAAACACTTCAGCTGTGGTTTATTGTAGCCAACACCTCCCACCAGCGCTCAGTTCCTCAAGTTTTGGTGCATCACCCCACTGCCTCTCAGTACCCAGCCTGGTTTTACCCCTTCCCCCTTCTAAACTAGTTTAAAGCTCTATCAACAAGTCCTCCTAGTTCCTATGCTAGAAACCTTTTTCCCCTCTGAGAGGTGCGTCCCATCAGGTGTCAGCAGATCAAGTGTTGTATAGACCATCCCATGGTCAAAAAATCAACATTATTCTGATATTATTCTGATATTATTCATGGACACCAGCCCCTGCTCTTGATAGACAGACTCCTAGAATGCTACAGTGGATAACTCGCCTGTTAAAAAGGGATTTCTTGTTAAACAATAGGCAACATTCTGCAAAAACAACCCCTCAGCATAATAAAACATCCAATTTATTAGCTGTGCACTGCTAATTCATCAGTAGGGAGCAGACATGACTCTTCAATTGTATTTGTCTTACTTTGTATTTGGTAATCCTTTTCTTCTTTCCTCTCATTAGTTTCTTTTTATTATATTCTTTCATATTCTTTTTATTATAGTACTAGCAATAAAAAAAGATTGCTGCAAACTTCTATCCCAATTCAGAAAATCATTCCTCTGTCCCCAAAGGAGAGATAATGCCCACTTCTGCTTCCTATGAGACTGGAGCTACTTTCTTGCTTTGTCATGTATAACTACCATGCTCCCAACCCTAGAGGCCCACACTGAGGTTTTTATCAACCAACTTCAGCCCTCTGGAAGTAAAACCTATTCCAAGATGCCTTACAGAATCCACAGAGGAAACAGGTATTTGCTCAGGAGCAATTAATCTATTTTAGACTTGTACCTTCTGGAGGGATAACCAGGTGACATTCACACCACCTGGTACAAATGTCACCAATGTAGTGAGCACATCACAGGCATTGTTTATTTGGATTAATGATGAAATCTTCCTGGAAAACCAACCCTCTATGCAAACATGTTAAAGCTGTTAGGTCTTTCTTTTTAACTTAGTATTTCACTTCCTGTAGTACATGGTACAACTCACAAATCTCTCACCTCAACAAACACAACTGGCATCAAATATTCTCTTCTGCCTTTCCCCTTAACACTGCACAGAAGTGAAAACAGACAAGGTGCTGTGGGGTGGAACGAGATGAGCTTTAAGGTCCCCTCCCACCCAGATCATTCTGTGATCCTATGACTTTGCCATGCTGCTGCTCCAGGGAAGAAGCAGCAAAGTGCTGGGAGCAGAGAGCACATCACAACCTCGACCAGAGGAGCAGCAGGGTGGCAGGGCTGTCCTCCCCTGCCTGCCACAGACAGCTGGTGCAGATTGGGACAGATAACCCAGGGGCTGGAAGGCCCAGCAAGGGTCATCTCTGGCACCAAAAGGGCTCAGGTCCCTGCTGAGAATTAACATTTTAGCCTGGAGAACAGATGTGGGAAGGGATAAAAGAAATATTCTTGATTGTGTTACAAACTATAAAAGACACATGAGTTATCACAGAGGCAGAAAACTCCTACACCCTGAAGGTGTTGGAGACTTCTCCCTGGAGTTTGAACACAGATTCTGTGGTTACTTCCCTGGGGACTGAGGGGAAGGATCTGGATGTGTGACCCACCAAGAACTGGATGGTAAGATCCATTGAATCCTAGGTTGTATTATTTCTTCACTAGCTGTAACATTAACACGTACCTTTTACTTCATGCTGTATATACCTGCTAAAAATCTCTTTTTATCCTTATTCCTGTGTAGTATCAGTTTATTTTAAGTCATATGCCTGTTAGTTTTGTGTCTATTAAACAAATAATTCATTCTGCAATAGACTGAACCAGCCATTACTAAAGAACTCGTGAACCCGAGTGGGTTTTGGGGCGCTGCCCACCTCAACAAAGCTCCTGCCCTGTGCAGGGTCCCTGGGCAAAGGGAGGGATGCAAAGCCCCCGGGTGTATCAAGAACCAGCAGCCTGGGCATGGAATACCTCTGCGGATGCTCCTCCTCAGCTTGTTGCAGAGGTCCAGGCGCGGGTTCTCCAGGCTGTCCTCGGCCGAGCCCGGGCTCTGCTCGGGGGATGACAGCCCCCGGCTGAGGTCCAGCGGCGCCTTGCTGCCCGTGGGCGGCGGCGACGTGGCCGGGCTGTAGCTGGACGTGGGGCTGCTGGCCACCGACGACGCCGAGAGGTCCAGGGCACCGATCCTGGAGTTGAGAGGGGACGTCAGGGACAGCTTGCGGGTCCTGGCGGGCGAGGAGGTCCTGGAGAGCGACAGGGGAGGAGGAGAGGAGAACTTGCGGCACAGGTGTGGCGACTTCCCGTCAGCCAGGTACTCCCCTCGGTTGTTCTGGCTGGTGGCAAAGAACAGCTCCAAAGACCTGAGAGCCAGGAACACAAGAAGAGCAACACGGTGGCTCAAACAGATTTAAGTGAAAACGCTTGAATTTTGAGCAAATCTGCACGGCCGCTGCAAAATCTGTGTGACACTCAAAGCTTGGGCATGTAGCTGAGACAGACCCGCCTTAAAACTGACCTCCTGTTTACACACTAATAACTAGTTATTTATAACTAGTTACAGTTAGTTTAGTTAACCAAACAGTTATAAAGAACCATTATTTATAACTAAATAGTTATAAATACTTATAGTTAGTTTAGTTAACTAAATAGTTATAAATAACTATTATTTATAACTAAATCGTTATAAATAACTCTGTAGCTGTTGGCTTTCACTATTATGTATTGACTTTTGCAAATTATTATTAATCAAAACGATTTTGATGCAGTGCAGTTTGTAATAACTTTTAAACTCACAACTATTTTGATACAGTACAGATTTTAATAACTTTTAAACTCCTTTAATATAGTATAATTTATCCACTATTGTGGCCAATGCCCTGGCGTGTGTAGCTTAAATATTAGTGTAATAAACATACATTATAATTTAGGCTTTTGCAAAGTATTAAAATAGAGACTATGTATCGTGCATTGTAACATTAAATGCTTTTATTTGTGTAACTAACTGACAATGGTAAGAATAACTCAGATAATTTTGTGAAATAGCTATGTTGATTTGATGTACTGGTGGAGTATCTTATCTGAATGATAGCATTGAAAAGAACCAAGAAAATAAAACACTGAAAGAAGAAATGAAAGGAGGAATTCACTACTGACCCTCTGGCTGTCAAAAACTGTCAAACCATGAAACAGAGGCTTTGTGAAGAAATAAAATATATTAATTTAATCTGCAGTACTTTAAGAAGATAGGTCTTTAAGAAGAAAGGTCGAACAAAGCAAAAGAATTCCCAGAACATGTAAAACTCAAATGAGTGTTTGAATATGCCATTGTCTGAGTGTGCAGCCCAGGCAGTGCCCAGCAGTGTGTGCTCTATCCCAGCTGTTCACCCAGCTGTTGCAGTGTTCTTTATCTTGCCCACAGCCCATCCTCCCTCCAGGAGATCTCTCCTGTTCATGGCCATGCAGTCCCAGGGCAGGGCTGATCAAATTCCATCATCCCATTGGGAGATGCTCCAGCCAGGGCAGGAGCCGAGCATTTCCTACCCAGATCAAAGGGGAGATTTGGAACAGCAGAGCAGCCTTTTCCCACTGCATCCCAGAGGAAAACCAGAGCCTTGCACATCATCCCTGCAGCTTTGGAGGAAAACTGCACCTTGTGCAGGAGCCCTGCTCCAGCAGAACCACATCTGTCACTGCAGGAGGATGCAGCCACCATGGAATGGGACTGCACCAACCCTGACTGACTGACGGGGGCACCTTGGATTCTCCCTCTGCCCCTGCTCTGGGTTTGTTCTCTGCAATACTGCATTGCTATTGGCATTGTCCTGGCAAAGAACTGCTATTCCTATTCCCATATCCTTGCCTGAGAGCTCCTTAATTTCAAAACGATAATAATTTGGAGGGAGGAGGTTTACATTGTCCATTTCAAGAAAGGCTCCTGACTGCCTTAACAAACACCTGTCTTACAAACCCAAGATAATCATGAACATGCATTTACCCAGTATAATGAAAAAGTATATAAGAAAATTGTTTTAAACTAACTGCTGTGCCTCCAGCAGTTTGCCAAGTACCCAGTGCTGTTCACTTATCGAACTTTCAAAAATTTTTAAAGAGTGAGCACTGCTTCTCACAATAAGAACCTTTTCCTTAGACTACCCACAAGCAGAACACAAAGAGGAAGAACGCCCACAAAACAACAGCGGCCGAGGTGACGGCATCTCCCCCAGAAAGGCGCGACAGAAAGGTGCCGGGAAGGGGCCAGGGAGGGGCCGGGGAGGGGCCGGGGAGGGGCCAGCCCTTGCCCACCTGACGGGGATGGAGGTGAAGGGCCGCCTGTAGATGTCGGAGAGCTTCTCCAGCACCACGGCGGCGGTGGTGAAGATGCGGTAGGTGTGCAGGAAGGTGTTGAGGAAGTCGATGCTCAGGAAGCGCAGGTCCGTCAGCCGCTCCAGCAGCCGCTCCACGCTGGCGTAGCGGATCTGGGGCACCTTGCACGAGTTCAGGGTCTTGCTGAAGCAAATGTCGATGTCATCTCTGTGCAGACGGGCGTCAGACCTGCACAGAAGTAAAATTTAAAGCACTTTATTAATGGGTGATCGTGGCTTAGGTGATGCCTTAAGGTTTAGCTTTTCTATTTTCCAGATTCTTACTACATTAATGTGTAACTCTGAACTCCTTATAAAGTGTGGGGGGACTGTGACATTTTAACCTCACTGGGTTCTGCCGTTTTCACAGAATACTACAGAAATACTGAATGCCACTGATGCCTTAAGGTTTAGCTTTCACATCTTCCAATTCTGCACTGCATTAGTGTGTAACTCTGAACTCCATGCAGAGTGTTCCAAGATCTCCTCCTAGCTCTTCCCTCTGAGTTTCTTCTTCCCAAGTCAACCCATCACACTCAGGCACACCGAACAATCCTTTTCCAGCCCCACAACCAAGGACAGCTGCAGCTCCAGCCCCAAAAAGTGCAAAGAGCAGAGAATGGAGGAGAGAATCTGGGAGGGTGGGACTGCAGAGCCTGGAGCTGGGATTGGACAATGAACCCCAAGGTGGGAATGGACCCAAACTGATCCAAGTGTGAAAC